ATGATCTAACAGATTAGGAGCATGTTCAAAAGCTTTTTGGCCATTTTACGATGTGCGTATAACGGTCACTTTTATGTATATAATACCACGGTGGCTGTAACTTCTTGCACCCATGCTTATTTGGCTGCTCAATAGTCAAACGCTGCTGGCCTTGCCATTTTAATCTGTGGGAGCGTCGATTTAGCTTCTGGTCGTCGCATTTATCAAGAGGAAACCTAAGGAGTGTCGATACATTTGCTGTGATAGTTTTTTGCTGACACGAACCATTCTTCCAGTAGGACACTCGTTTCTTCGCTGCCAGATTATTCGTTGGCACCCATAACAAGCTTTATAAGGTCGTTCGAAGGTATTGTACCAAGTAGTTGTTCAAGTCTATCGTAAAAGGTGTTCTCTCCTTGTTCATCTCTATTCTTCACAGGCTAGTGGGCGTTAATAATTCATGTCGTTCGGAACGATTTCGAGATCTTTGTTCAACATTGTCTTAGTCGAATTGTCCCTCATTCTTCTACAATTCCGTCCAGTCTGCGCATGCTGTGACTCCTCAACCATATATACTTTTTTCAGCCTTCGATTCGAATAGTACGATAATTCGAATAATAAGATGCCTGGCCTTCAAGTAGTACATTTTGTGATTTCATCTTTCTTTAATCGCGTTTCTTTGAGACATGGGATCAGTGCGTTTAGATTGTTCGAGGTTCTGGTTACGGTAACTTGCCGGTCTTACCTTTCAGAAATTGGACGTTCATAATGACAGTATTTAATTTCTTCCGTAGTCGAAGACTGTTCTGCGGTGGCCCTGAGAAGAGTGTTTTGGTTTGGGCAGATAGAGTGCTAGCAGTGACAGTGTTTGCTCGTCTGGAAATACAATGAGTTGTGGATGTCTGGCCATCTATCATGGGTATTTGCTGATGTCTGACCATTGGCATCATGATTGGTATGAATTCAGGAAGTACCAAGTGGAGGCAATCAGAGACAAACACGCAACCCGAAACCCATGCGAGAAAAATATAGAAAATATATGCTGTATCAGATATGATAGATAAATAGGAAATTTCCAATATTTTCATGCGGTTATCTGTTCTTATTTTTACATTGTGTTAATGATATTGCTGCGTCTTTCACCATATGCTAAAAATGAAATTCGCTCCTTGCACATAATTGGTATGTTCTATTTTAGTAGAAGATTCGATCGTTTGGATTTTTATTATGAGCTTTGTTAGGTTATTTCCTTTGCTTTGATACACATTTACTGCCATCGAAGATGATCGAAATGCATCTTCTTTAGATTCGTGTAATCCCTTTGCTTCGATACCGTGAAGCCCCATCCTTCCCTCAAAAGTTCCTTAGCCCTTTAAAAGCAAATGCTCCTTTTGATTATGCTATATGTATCCATTTCTTGTTATTTGTTGCAGTGTGTAGTCTCAGCGTTTTGCATAAGCAAACTGTTTCTAATTTCTGATATCTGCTGTTTTCGCGCAACATTTTCAACGTTTTTACCAATAGACACCGGTTGCTGCATCCTAGAGGTAGGAGGTTGTCCTCCCCAGAAGCTGATTTGTTACAGTCTTATTTCTCAAGGTAGGGCACTGAACCTTTTGACCGACGTCTATAGTTTTTCAGTTCCCACACTCGCAGCTGCTGTACTGGAATAAATTATTTGTGTTCATTCAGTTTGTCTGACAGATCTCACCCCTTTTTTAATATCCACGCCTATTGTGCTAACCTGTTCTTGCAAGAGAACATTGTCCTTTCTTTCGTGGCCCTGCATTTAAGCATCATTTTACGTCGAAGCCTTCGCGGCTGCACGCAGTTCACCTGTCGATATTGTTCCTTCGTTTGTACAGCTGTCTTTTTGCCGTTCAGCAGCATTGATCTGACTGAGGTAAGGTGCAGGCAAATGTTTGTGGAAAGGGCTATCACTTTTTCAGGAAAAATAGTGGACAAGTTTCCGGCACTACTCCAGGATAGGATGATTCTTCTATTTAAGTCGGGCTAGACTCCGCCATTGTTGCGGATAATAGATCCGAGATCTCCTAGTTTAGCCAGTAAATCAGCCATATCTGATAGGTTCCTCATAATTTTCGGCTTCAAGCGGTTAAGAAAAGGACCGGCTTTCGCATCTGCGTTACAGACGGAAGCCGTTATATGACAAAGGTTGCTTCCTATTCTGTTTACCAAGACAATATTATTTGCTTACTCTTGAGTCAGTAGGATGTCTTACCAAGTATCTTTAGCTGGACTTTCCGTTTAGAATTAAACCTTGTCTAAACCAGGGTCAGCACCGGTTCGGAGAAGAAAATTTACAATAGTGTTGAATAGCAAACTCGAGTTCACTTGTCTCTGGTGAACGAGCAGTTCATTCAGAGAACCCTCATTAGACTGATGTGCTTAGGTAGCCCGTAGCATTTCAAGATTTTCCACGTCGTTAGACGACCATTAAGTTGAGAAAGTTGAAAACACCTCCATAAATGCCTCTACCCTTCATTCACGGGATGGCACAATGCGCCGTAAAATATGATCTTGGACAAAATGTGCGTTATTTCACAAACTCCTTCGTGGGAAGAAACTTTGGTTTGGCTTAGTTTAGTTTTTTAAACTGGGTTTATGCAGTATTCCCTCTAACTACCCATTCGTCCATCTTTCTAGGGTTCTTTTAATTTCTTTGGACAATTCCGTCTTCGTTTTTTGCATCGCTTGCTCTTTTACGAATTTTCTGTGGTTTTAAATCCAGCTGTCTACTGTTTCAATATTGGTGAGATAATAGCTTCTCTGCCGTAAGCTAAATTTTCAGAATAAAATAGAACGGTGAATCTTGTGCCGTTCCCAGCGCCATTCCTATTGAGAAAGTATCGCGGATATTTCGTTTATTCCCTATCAGTAAGTATATTTACTGGGGGTATCGCTCTCAAAAGTATTTTGAAATATGTTGTTTCAGCGTTTTTTATTTGATTCGCATGAGCGAAAAGGCGCTTTTTATTTAGAAAAGAGTAAGGGAAGGGAAAGTTAGTAACCCTTCTTTCATGAAGTTCATGGTAACCGCCGTTTTTATCGCATCAGCCAGAAGTGCCTTCTTTTAATTGTACATTCCTCAGCGTGGTAGTGTGTCGTATAGTCTTCTCTTTCCTTTCTACAAACTGGTACTCATTTATCACTGGCGGAAGGAAGAAGGGCGAGTGACTCCAACCGTGGCTTGAATTCAGGATTTTATCGGTTCTGAGTTCGACACAGACTGAAAAACCCGGTCTGAAACAATGTGTGGTAATAAGTTCCTTACTCAGGGGAATTCATGAATAGCATAGATTACCCCAGAGTAGAATCGATCCCGGGAATTCCGGAATTCAAAGCAGCCCTCTTGAGCAGTTGTGGCAGCGCTTTTATTTCGAAATTAAGCTACATAATATGATTTTATTACAAATGGCGCGAGCTTGTCCAATTTTGTTGTCTGGGTACCTTTTTCCTTGACCAGTTCGCTTAATAGCCTTAACGGGATGGAGGGTAAAACGGAGAATGGTCGAACGGAAATTGATGGGGAATATATGCACGATTGAATGCCTATAATGCAAAAAGGACATGTGGCTGACAGAGAGACAGGTATTTATTGGCGATGGCGAAGACATCTTCAAACTTTGCTGAATTAGACGCATAAGAATCTGATTTGCGCCTGCTCATAAGTGATACAAGCAAGCGCTATACTCTACAGAATTACCAAATATCAAATAGATATGTTGTCGCCGCACGTTATGAGCTATATTTGAATCGCATTCAAAAGACGTACACTATGGGTTGTGACAGTAGCAGAAATGCAACCTGATGACAGTAGAAAAGATTTCTACTGAGTTCCTCAAGCCTATGTTGAAATTTGCTGTGAGTGAATGATCATATAACACAAGATGTTGTAGAATAATTATGAAACTTCTTTGTCATCAAAGACTAAGATACTTCTTTGTCATCAAAGACTTTGATAAATGACTATCAAATTTGGAGGAAATTGATTTATACAGGAGTCCTTTTTCAAAGAGAATAGAAAGTAGATTTGTTCTTCTATTGGCATCAGTATTCCAACTTGTATGGATCCATGACAGATTTTCGTGGATAATTAAGTTACTGTAGTGAATATACTTTATTGTTTTTCACCCCAACTTGCAATGTTTGATTGGTAGTTATCAAATTTGTGCTACGGAGATGCCGAAGACGAATTTACAGGCATTTTTCATACCGGTATTTACTATATGTACTGGTATTTAAAGACTGAATGTGATGGTGTGGTGTTTGTTGTGAAACTTAAAAGTGAATTTTACGTCTGCATGTTTTTGATTAATCTCATTCAAAAAAGTTTCTCTATGCAGTATTAACGAAGGACATTCAGAAGAAGAGCGAATGGTTGCCATGCTTCGATGGTACATGTCAACGTTTTATGGCGGTCGGAAAAGCGGTCTCGCCAAGAAGCCATACAATCCCATACTCGGTGAGGAATTCAGATGCTGCTGGAATTCACCGTCTCTTTCACAAAGCGAGGTAAATCTAGTTTTTTAAGCGATTTCGCTATTGATGCGCTTTAAAAGTATAAGAACTTTACGTTGTTAACACAGATCATAGGAATTTTGGACAATGTTGATTAACTCGTATTTGAACAGTGATAAGAATACACAGGCAAGAAATACGATGCATGACAATAACAAATGAAGAAGCGTGACATTTTTTGCTCATTTTAGATATATGTTACGTCTTACATATCGATGGACAGCTTTTGCATTTTTGCACCTCCTAGCATTGTCCGGACTTTATGTTGTGCAGGTTGTTATTTTACACTGTTAGCTTGCGTTACCATGCGCCACCGCGAAGTCATTCACCTGCTAGGATAGGCCTTTTAGTGAGTGAATGTACCTTATTGTTCGTGAATGGTCATTAAAGATTGCCAAAGCAGTTCTGATTTAGTTTAATCGCATATCAGGTATATATGTGTGTCATTCAGGAGCACAGTATTAAATTTAATGATAGCACTTGGCAATTATACTTGTTATCTATCGCTTAATATGTTATGATTAGACACATTGGTATATTCATGGAAAAATGCCATTTAGGGTATTTAGTTTGTGTTTCGCGCGTTTCTAGACCATATGACATGTATAAGTGTTTCACTAACTCTTCGTATGTTGCCGTTGCTGTCATCTTGCATGGAGTTTGACCGTCTGTGCTCCACGACTAAATTGCTCTTAGCCTGCCGTCTTCACAGCATGAGGTATACTATGTTGTGTTTTAATTTGCTGCGGTGTGCTCTGAAAAAAATGGCGCACAAAATGATATAGCATATGTATCTGCATTCAAGGTCTATGCATTGCACTGCTATTTAAAGTGTCAACTCAGAATGTTGAGCCATTTATTTTATTGAATGCAGTGGTAACATTCACGATACATACAGTGGCAAAAGTAATGTTAAATGGCTAACAGTCCGAACTTGTCTTACCTTACAATTGCAACCATATTTTTATCGTTACAAGCCACAAAATGCTGTAAAATTTTAGACGGAGTTTGTCGATGTTTAGTTAAACAGACTGATTGAAAGCAAGGGAAACGATTAATAACCTTGCCTACTGATTTATGAGTTGAAGTTAACCTGATGTGGTCTCATCCTGATGCTGAAAACTTCGACATGAAGCTTATCTTTTCGCATTTTTAATTATGCTTGCCGGTTGCATGAAACTGCGGACTAAACATATTGAAAATGATGATGCCCTTAAGTGACGGAAAATTTCATGATTTATCTTGTGTAGCGCTCCCGAAGAGAATATTTTATCGCATCGTACCGAGTACTTCCATAGCTTAATTATTTTCATTGCTAAAGTAAGGGGTCAGAGAAATATCATGATTACATCGTTTAGCCATAATGATTACTCTAATTACTCTCTTTGTCCACCGACGTGGCAGAAAGATGCTACTTTGATACACTGTTTTTATTTACTAATAGCATTGATTTGTCATCATATTCGTGTTTCGTCTATTTTCATATGTATCGTTCTGATCTGCTTAGGTTTGATTATGCTTTTATTTCTTAACGATATAGACTAACGCACCCAGTTCATCAGTTAGGTTTAGTAATTGAAATAATTTTGTCAGATATAACTTCCTAAATGGTCACATGGAACTTGTCAACTTTTTCGTGCTCTTTGGTCATCAGTAGCTGTCAAACTTAATGTCTGAATTTCATATTTCCCTCGTCGAGAGAGTAGTACACTCTGCTACTATGTTTCGACTGTAATAGTTCCCTTATTTTTGTCGTTGTCTATGATTGAGTTCCCTGATGAGTCTGCATGTGCAGCATCCATATTTATGCACATGGTCGTTTTGTATAATCGCTAAAGTATGTTGACTCGAGCAAGCAAAATAATTCTTCTAGCACTTCAAGTGTTTAAATGCCATGGAGCCGTAGTAAATCGTCCCTCTACGCAACTAGGAGCAAAAGTACAGTGCAACAAGCTGTGAAATCGTGTCTTAAAGTAGTTACGTGCTACTTTTATATATCGTACTAGCAAATAATCAAACAATCGGTTTCGATGGTCGCTTAACTTTTCGAGTCGCATACGCCACAGAGTCGGACAAAGAGGAGGATAATTTTCATTCATTTGAGCAATGCAGTTACTCTCTGCGAGATATGAAGTTCTCTATAAATAAGCAATTAAGTAAACTTCGCTAAAACAAAATGTAATATTTGGCCTGTTTCACCAACTGATACTATGTACAGTAAATTTATTCTGTTTCTCGGACTTAATAAAACAAAGTTCCTTAATATAAAGGCGAAGAATGGTTGCTGGCTTTACTCCATGGTCTTCATATTTCGTTGGCGTGGATCATGCATCCACTTCGCGAATGTGCAGAGAGGGTTTTACGGAACTTCTGTGAAACGAATCACTAGAGTCTGCCATCGGCGATTGATCCGTCTGTATGACTGAACCGATGTTCGTTATTCGTTAGCAATAGCTATTCGTTGAGTATTTTTGACCAGGTGCATTTTGTTAATGCTAGAAGTCGGAAATCAGTAGAACGCCTCAGTGCAAAACAGTATAGTTCTTTTCCTGAAGATCTCCAGCCGCAATGACAGGCGCTAGAGAACAATCAAAGATTGAGAGATGAGTCTTCTCATTCGTAAGTGTTGCTAGGACTTTGAACAAAAGAGGAAATGTCTCCCACATTCATGATCATTCCCACCATCTGAGTTTTATTTTAAAATAAGAGTTTTGAGCAAAATCCAACGAAATATCTTCATCAGGTCATTCTGTACTTTCCCCGGGGTGTTCAGCAAGTTGATCGAACAAGTAATAGCTGTAACGCCTTCCTTTCTGATGAAGCAGCATCTTTACAAGGAGAATTTATAGCGTCCACCTAGCTGTTAGTCCAGAAAGCGAATTTCAGCTGATTGTACGAAAAGTTGCAGATCATCGGTCATTACCACTCACGACTATGGGTGATCATGGGAGTAAATATTGACTTGAACATAGACTATTGATTCAGCCACAACGATTCAGAAAGTATGTGCCCAACTTGCTTGTCTAGCCGATTCACTCGTCGGTATCTTCCACCTATTTCCCATAATAATTAAGCAGGATCCTTTGGGTATTTGAACTTCGCCTGTTCCACCACTCCTCCACACGTTGTAGCGAGTAGGAAGATTAAGAAATTATTAGTTTCGAATACGATTGCGCACCACGTTACACTCGGCTGCAATCTCTTTCAGCGCGCTGGATATCAGTGTCAGGAAGTACCACAAAACAAGATCATCTGCAAACATTGAGCCTCATTTCGAAATCTCCGATTTAATGTACTTGCAGGCTTAGCTGTTTTTGACTCTGTTTTTTGTGTGAAACCTAAATATGAGAAGACACATAGCGCACCATTGATGTAAATAAATTCTAACGCTGAAAGATTTCGACTTACTATCATCGGCTATGAAAGTATAATGCCTAAATAGCTGATAACAACTCTCCATCTTTGGTATATTCCTGCTCATAAGTTTATACCTTTTTACGACTCCGGGTATACAGATTTCTGGGTGGGTATTACCATCATATTTTTACTCTGCATGGAATCAGTGAACAATGCCAACGGCTCCAGTATAGTGTTGGACGTTGTGAAAAATCTTGAAATGCTGTACGATGCCTAATCACCTCTGCTGCCGAAGTCGAACGAGAACTGTCGAACTGGTTCTAATGTCGTATCAAGTTTGGAGTTCACCAGTGGTTTCTGCTTTCGCTTTCGATATTCAGCATTGTTTTGAACTTAAATCTCTGAAACAGTTGCTAGCTTTGGCAAAAACAAAGGTTTGATTCTTATTAGAGAGCGCAACTCCAGATATCGTTCTGAATTTTTTTAACCTCCAGCGCACGGGTGATATTGCCCTGTTTATTAGTACGGAACATGCGCTCTGTCACCTGACCTCTTCTGTGTGCAATACAGCTTCAGACGCCGGTGTTTTCCTTCACGATTTAAAACCAAAACTTATGAGCAACCCATCCTGCCCAGCTCGTTACCAAGCGGAACAGAAGTTGAAAGTGTTTCAGTAGGTATACCATTTTAGGTACCATTAGCTCTAGCGATTTCACAATTCAGCCGCAGTTATATTTGAGTGTCTTCCTAGCGTTCAGTGCTTTTCATAGCTTGTCCAGTATATGATCAGAGAGGAGAAGTGAGTGATTGTTTACACTAAAATCGGCCTACACGTTGCGTTTTTAGGTCAGTATTAATGAGAGTCCGAGTACGTCCAGTTTGTACGTAGAGGCCTCGTTACCTAGCTCTTATTTTTCCTTCTGAGTAATGAGAAGTTTCAGTTTCTCACTGATTTCCCATTGTCGTTATCATTCCTGTTAAACCTTGTCCGATGTGCGATAATGGTTTCTCATCTTCCTCGGTTCTGAACCGGAAACGTCGCCGTTGCTTTGCTGACTTGTGTCTTGTTCATGGTCGATTACGTTTTCAGCTTCTTTCGTCATGCTGCTACACCCCCAGCTACCGGAAGGCATGAAACATGTTCTGATCGCTGACTTTTCGCAGTCTGTC